TGCCCTGACTACACGTTGGTACAAGATCTAGTCACAGGCTGTTTCCTTCCTCCCCAGAAGTCTTAATTCCTGTAAGAAGGAAGCCTTGGCTGTCAAGAAGCCATGCTGTGGTGTAGTCATGCCAGGACAATCCGGCATGCTGCAGAGCACAGCTGTCTTGTGGTCTCGGCACAACCACTTGCACTCCATCCTGGCTACAGTGAAGGCTCCTTCCTTCCAAAGGAGCTCCTTTGGCTCCTGGCCTAAAACCATGTCTTTTTCATCTGAAAGTGGGAATCACTGTCCCACTGCAATGATTCTGTAGACAGCCCTTGAAGGGAGTCAGACCCACGACATCTGCTTTTGATGTCTTAGGCCTAAGGACTGTTCAGGGTAGTGGCGGCCATGGACTTGTGCAGATCTTAGGCAACCAGTACCAAATCACAGACCCACATTAACTTCTGCACGTTCCCAAAGGTTTGTCTTTTGCCCAGTGTCTTTGAAGAGCTCTACCAGTAGCGTCCAACAAGGCTGGAATGCAGGTCTGTTGAGTTTGGTGGGACGGTGTGATCCCATAGCTGACCTGGAGCCTTTCTGAACTGGACAGACTGGAGAGGTGGGCCCATGGCAACCTCATGCAATTCAACCAGACCAAGTGCAAGGTCCTCCACCTGGGTCATGGCAATCCCAAGCGCAAGTCCAGGCTGCGTGGAGAATGGATTGAGAGCACCCCTGAGGAGAAGGACTTGCAGGTGTTTGTGGAAGAGAAGCTAAACATGAGCCAGCAATGTGTGCTGGCAGCCCAGAAAGCTGACAGTGTCCTGGACTGCATCAAAAGCAGTGTAGCCAGCAGGGTGAGGGAGGTGATTCTAGCCCTCTGCTCTGGTGAGACCCCACCTGGAGCACTGCATCCAGCTCTGGAGTCCTCAGCACAGGAAGGACATGGACCTGTTGGAATGGGACCAGAGGAAGGCCATGAGGATGATCAGAGGGCTGGAGCCCCCTTTCCTATGAAGACAGGATGAGATAGTGGGGATTGTTCAGCTTGGAGAATAGAAGCCTCCAGGGACATTTTATAGCAGCCTTCCAGTACCTAGCTACCGGAGAGATGGGGAGGGACTCTTCATGAGGGAGTGGAGCTATAGGACGAGGGGTAATGACTTTGAACTGAAAGAGGGGAGATTTAGATTAGATATTAGGAAGAAATTCTTTGCTGTGAGGCTGGTGAGACACTGGCCCGGGTTGCCCAGGGAAGCTGCTGATGCTCCATCACTGGATATGTTCAAGGCCAAGCTGGACGGTGCTTTGAGCAGCCTGGTCTGGTGGGAGGTGTCCCTGCTCAGGGCAGGGGGCTTGGAACAAGGTGATCTTTAAGGTTCCTTCCAACCCAAACTGTTCTACGATGCTATGATTCTATGACCTAGGGCTCCTTCAGGCCTCTTCCTTATTGGTATTGCAGATTGCTTTTTCCCCCAGATGTGGTACTGAAGTTGGCCTGTGAGGAAGAGCACATGAAGATGATGGTGAGGAAGGAGGTGTTTGAACTCTTGAAAATCCCCCGGGAACTTGTCCACTTGAAGAACCAGGAATGCAAGGTCTCAGAAATGGAAGAAGACGATGAGCTTTTTTTTGCAGCCACTCTCACAGGTGAAAACCACACTGCCTGTGGATCAATAATTCAGGTGAGGATCCAGCAGAGCCTTTTTCCTTAGCTCTGAAGCTGTGAGAGGAGCAGACATGCTGAGTGGGGACAGCAAGAGGAAGCCCCGAAGTCTTTTCCTTTTATATCTGGGTGCTATAAAGTTCTCATTCCCCTTGGAAGGCTTCCCCAGGGGCTGTCAGAAAGCTCTTCTGCCTCCAGCAAACCCCTGCTGGCAGCACATCTTGTCTTATTTAGCAGAGCATTAGAAGTCTCACTGTGCTCTTTACTAGCTGATAACAGCCCTCAGCTTTCTGGCAGCATCCTCTGAGCTCTGCAGCCCTGGTTATAGCCCCTTGGTCCCTCACTTGATTCATGGGTCAGGGAGGGTGCAGAGGAACTGGTGCAGAGAAACCAGGCACAGAAGGGCCCTTACCTGTGGTCACTATGCTGACTCCTGCCTATTCCGGTGATGGTTGCCTCTGGACATGGAACTTCAGCAAAAACCCCAGCAGACATGTAGGAGGCCTGGAACAGCTACAGCTGAGTTGCACCATCTGAACCGGAGTTTATTGTTCTGTGTATGAACTTAGACATGGTCTGGAGACTTGGTTTCTGTGTCATTCCAGCGAAATAGCTCCCATATGTCGTACTCCAATGTCATTGAGTCAGAGCAGGAAGAGCATGGAGGTGTGATCTCCCGGAGGTTTCAGCTGGAGGTGCATTTCTCCTGCATCTATGCCTACGAGCAGGTGGTGAAACTGCCCTTCGCTCTCACTGCTGTTGACAAGTGAGTGGTCCCTCTTCACCTTGCTGCTGACATGATAGCTCTGAACTTGGAGAAAAGCAAGTTCATTGTTGCCTTCAATGACGTGATCTGCAAAGGCCCTGGGGAGCCACTAGAGAGCTCTGAGAGCAATGCCACATCAGAGTGTCTCCGTTTCTCTTCCCAACATAGTTTTTCAACACAAGGTTTGGCCTGGGACAGAGCCAGAGGGGCACACATAATCTACCTTTCTCCTATCCTCACTGCTTGAAACCAGCTAGCCAAAATATAAAGGATGGGAACAAGAAGATGCCCCCAGCAGGCCCTGGTGGAGGTGCAGGTTAGGACCCCCTGGGTTGCCTTTCTCATAGATGTCACTGGGTCAGTGGGAACCCCTGGAGCGCCTTGCCTCTGTCTGTACATGGTGCAGGACAACCAGGAGGCAGCTCGGGACCTGGATCTCACAAGGTTCCGCCTGGGAGCATACGCACGGTCAGAGTCAGTGCACCGGTGCCAATGGCCTGACTTGTGCTACATCCTTCCTGCCTTCTTGTTCTGCTTGTGACCTCTCCTCCTCTCCTCTCAGGCTGGTGCAGTTCGTGGTCAGAGAAGGACACTTCAACGTCAGCATGAGGCTGTACAAGACTCCCTCCTACCTCCAGCCCTATCACCTGCCAACCACAGCCATCCCCATCACGGACACACTCTATGTCCTGCTGAAGATAGAAGGACAGCAGCAGCTCAAATACTACCTGCTGAGTGTTGAGGACTGCTGGGCTACACCAAGCACCGATCCCTACCAGGACATGCGGCACGAGCTCATTGAGAAGGGGTGAGTGAGGTGCCCCTGGTACATCTGGTGTCCTTGCACCGTGAACACAATCACATCTCTTTGCTGGGCGCTAAGGACAGGTTGCTGTGCAGGAGCAATGAACAATGACACCATCATAGGTGGAACCTATGAAGGACACCATCATTGAATAGGTGGACCAGCCCCATAGATGAGCCCCCTAACTGTTCTGAACTGTGCTCCCTCTCCTGACCCAGCTCTGCTGCCAATAGTGCTGCCTTCCCTCTAGCATCACCCCTGGCCAGCTGGTGAGGCAAAGGGCAAGGAAGGGAGAGGGGAAACCTTGCCGGGATGCGCATAGAGGTATCTGCTGAAGAGCTTGCATTGGAGCTGGCTGCAGCCAAGTTAAGCCAGTAACGCAGATATGCAGGAAGTTGGAGCCACAGCCAGGCCCAGTCTGCCCCTGCAGAGCAGCTGAGGCCCCACAGAGCAAGACACAAGCCAGGCCCTGTGCTGGTGGCAGCTCATCCCACAATGCAGAGTGCCAAGGAAAGGCATCCCCACTGGCACCGACAGAAATAGTCCTGTTCAGCAAAGCTTGGGGGCTGTGTGCTCTGGTGTCCCAGGCTGGGATGCTCCCCCTTATTTGCCACCTGCTGATTCAGCCATCGTGTCCCAGGTGTCCCCATGATGAGACAGTGACATACCTGAATGCTATCGGAGAGAGCACTACCGCCAAGTTCAGCTTCCAGATGTTTCGGTTTGTGGGTTACCCCGAGGTGTTCCTGCACTGCCGTGTCCGGCTCTGTGTCCCCGACAGCCTGGAGCCCTGTTCCAAGGTGAGCTCTCCTGGTGGTCTGCCTGGGTAGGGGCACCTCCCTTCTCCTGGCCTGCTGTTTGGAGAAGGGGCTCTGCTCTGGTTTTGGGTGCCTCAGCACAATAAACACCTCCCAGCTGCAGGAGCTCATCCCAGCACCCTGAACTAAAGGTACGAGGGCTTGAACCCACCAGAGAGCTCCTTTCCCTCTTCCCTCTGTCTGTTGGATATTTGCAGGAGGAGAGGTTTATGCTAGGACTTGGGGAAGAACAGGCTCAGGTCCTTCAGGAATTGACTTTTGTCGTGCTCTGGAGTCTAGACTGCCCCCAGGCTGCAGCCCCAACTGTGCCTCTGCTGGGGGAGACCACCAGGACAGCTCTTGCCCCCAGAGCAGGCTTCTCCCCTGCCCTCTGCTCCCATCACCCTTCCCTTGGTTTTGTTGACAGCAATGCCCCAGGCACAGGAGGAGTAAGCGGGCACTGGAGGAAGACTCCAGTAAGATTGTCTCCTATGGGCCCATCCACCTGCTGGCTGCTCCTTCCTTGGGCAAAGAGATCCACCATTCCAGGACTGACCAACAGGACCTGGGGGGTACGTATGTGTGGAGTCTTTCAGGTGTCATGGCCATGCACAGTGTGCTCCAGAAGCCAGACCAACACGGAGAGGTTAGCCCTGCGTGAGCGGCTCCCGGCCAGGTACAGGTCGGGCTGAGCCAGGGAGCTGGGTGGGAAGGGACCAGGAGCCAGAAGGCTGTTGGTGCAGCACCCCAGGCCAGGAAGGCTGGGTTTTCACGCTGGACCTCCCCATCAACCCAGCAACGCAGGCTCCTTCTGAGTGCTGAGGTCAATTCAGAAGACCCAAACAGCATTCCAGGACCAGGGCTGGGGACAAGCCCACCTCAGCATAGCTCAGACCAGGCGTGAATGCCAAGCTAAATGGAGCTACTGGGCAGCGGGTGTGGGTGGAGGCTCCAGGTGAGGCCAGTTGGGGTGACCAAGTCCTGTTAGTGCCCTCAGGAACCCAAAGCACCCACAGCTCCAGTGGCTCTTAGCCTTCAAAGGAGATGACCTCCCCTGAATCTGCTCCCAGCCAGGGCTCAACACCATTTCAGGGGATCCAGATGTGTAACCAGCCTTTCTCCCCTTTGGCAGGTCCCAACCCATGGCTCCCTGTGGCCCTCATCCTGCTGTGCGCGCTTGGTGTGCTCACTGTGGCTGCTGCAGCCACCAGCGCCAGGCAGAGAACGGCTGTTCCCTAATAAATGTGACAGTAGCAGAGAGGCTCTTACCTGTTTCTTTACAGGGTTTTTTTGGGAAGGAGATGATGGTTGGATGCCAACGGTGCTTGAAGGATGAGTCACATCAGAGTGTTTCTGTTACCTGTAGAATCCCTAGGACCTTCTCAGCCCCTCCTGGCCCAGGCTCTCTAGACTTGAAATAAGTAGCCAGGGATGGGAGGTTCCTTCCTCCTGCTGTCCTCCTCCCTATAGAGTCACCCAGGTGCCTGGGGAGGTGGAGATACTCACACTAGATCCTTGCCCACCACAGCTGGAGTTTGCATGGTTCTGTGTGACACAGATGCAGCATGAGCAGAGAAAGGGCTGCAGTGTGTGTGCACACACATGCGTGTGTACATCTGTCCTGTGCGGAGTTCTTCCTTCATGACAGTTTTCTCCTTTCATTCATGACAAATTACCAGCAAGACTTTTCCCATCAATACATCCCTAATATAAAGCAAATAACAGACAATATTGTAGGTGTCAAAGACTAAATCCACTGTTCAGACAGCTGGCAGAGATTTAATAGTGAAAAAACAGATAAGGAAAAGACAAGAGGATGTTTTGCAGGAGGGACATCGGGCAGATCTCTGCCTGAAGGGCTAGGCTCTTGTCCATTTGGAGAGGACATATCGTAAAGAAGCTTGTGGGGATTTCTCTTTTTTTGCTAATTCCCAGACTTGAGCCTCCTGGGTCAATCCTCCCACGTCCAACAGCAGGAAAACCCACTGCTGGGCTGTGGGCACCAGGTGCCACCTCTAGCAAAGAAGGGGCTGGCTCCGTCCTGGCTGAAGGCAGGTGGGTTGTGCACTCCCTCCTCGCCCGTGAGATCCTCTCAGGAACAAGCTCAGGGGCACATCGAGACCATGGGGGAGCTGCAGCAGAAGGGACTTTGGCAGAAGGGACATCTCTGCAGCCCAAGGTAGACCACAGGGAATGAGAGAGACAAAGCAAAGAGCCCTGCTAGGGTGGATCATGCCCACTGAAGGATAAACTAAGCTCTTGTCCTCCATGGAAAGCTGCATCCATCAGGATTGAAGCTTGCTCTCAGCAGCTGCACACACAGGCAGGGAGGGAGGTCTAGCCAGCAGCTAGTCCTGGGAGGCTGCGGTGGTTTTGTCATGTCTGATGATGTGGGAGAGCGAGCCAGTGGTCTCCTTTGTCTTTGGGTAGTAGAGGACAACCAGCCAGATGAATATGAAGACTCCTGCAGGGAAAGGAAGGCAGACATTCAGCAGCAGGAGACGGTGGGAAGCATCCTGCTGGGATGCTGCTGACACTTCCCTGACACTTCCAGGGGGTTCCCCCAGCTCACTCCTGCTCCTGCAGGAGGGTCTCCCCATGCTTCAGGTGAGCCATTTGGCTGGGACATGCTCTGGGTGGATAATGTCCCTGTTCCTATACTAAGGAATCACTCCCTTGGGGGAAAACCACCCCCAGTGGAGTGGATGTGGTTGGGAACCATGAGCAGCTCCACACTGGTGGCAGGGACCTGCTGCTTGACATGCCCTGCAAAAGGAAAGGCATGACAGTGCTGGGAAGGTGCTGGTGCCTTGGCACCCCTGGTCAACTCACTGTCAGGCTGGCTCCTGCTTCCTCCATCTTCCCCACCCACGCCCTAGGAACCCATCTCAGAGCCAGCCCTGACCTTGGAGAGAGTTGAGGATGGTGAACAGGTAGAGCATGGGCGCAGAGGAGGTACTGTAGGTGAGGAACACTGGGGCCCAGGTGGCTCCCAGCAGGCAGAAGAGCCCCACTGCCACCAAGGCCACCTTCCAGGCTTTACGGTCCCCCTGCACAGCCCCCGTGGCCCGCAGGCAGCAGCTCTTCTGGGTCACCACCCCGAAGACAGCCATGTTGAAGAGGAAGATGAGGCCAAAGTAGCCACAGTTGGTGATGTAGTGCACCAGGAGACGTTTGGAAGTGATCCAGCACCTGAAAAGAGAAAACTGTGGTGCCTCCAGCATCTCTGCTAGCTCTGGCAGCACCCGTGGGAGCCTCCCCAGGGGGATGTATTCAGGGATGCAGTGACACCCTTGTGCTGGTGGGGTTTGCCAAGGCCAGGGTGAAGCAGCAGGGGCAGTGGTGAGGATCCGCTGCCCTCATGTTGTTCAGCTGGGAAGGAGCCTGGGGAAGCTCCACATGGACCTTGAATGTCTCTCCATGACCTGGAGGCCAGTGGGCATGACCAGGGAGGCTCAGAACAAGAGGTGGTGGTGGTGGGTAGTGGTTACCACAGCAGTGGAAAGCTGCTGTGTTGTAATCATAATTGGGGAAGTGGAAGAGCAGCGTAAATCCGAGCAGGATGGGCACAACCCCCATCTGCTGTGTTCCCAGCAGGACCTGGTTAACAATTCCCATGCCGAAGGGCCACCTAAGCCCTGTGGGCAGTGGTGCACGCACAGGTGGGCTATGACCTGGTCGTCCATGGTCTGGATGCGGTATTCTCCGTAGCTGCCGATGACTCCTGCCACTAACACGACAAGAACAGGGAAGCCTGGAAGAACAAAAGACACATGTGGAGAATGCCAGAAAGGCAAGCTGTGGGCGAGGCGATCAGCTTAGGGTCTCTTCATGGCCCTGGATGTGCTGACTTCAGGGAAGATGACGTTTAGGGTCCAGCTGAGGTTGCACAGGTGCTGGGGGCACAACGCTTGCTGGGACATGGTGTGGAGAGCGAAGGACAGTGCTGGGTGGCAGAGCTTGAAGTGTCCCCTAATCTCTCTTCAGGATCATCTGCTCCAGTGCCCCCCATGGTGCCCAGGGAGGACTGGTAATGGGGGAGTAATGACCCCTGAGGACATCACCTGCTTGATGAGCAGGAGGCTGATCCCCAGCGGGATGCAGGGTGCGTGCAGGTGCTGCCCTGAATTTGGGCATCGAGCCCTGACCATGGCATTTGGAAGAGCTGCGGGCAGGATGGGACTTGCTCACTTTCTGCCCACCACTGCAACACACTGTTCTCCCTCTGGTTGTAACCCACTGCCCCCCCCCCTCCCTCCAGCTCCCGCTGGGCTGGTGGTGCTCACCCCAGCCAACCAGGCACAGCTTCACCAGGTAATGGTGAATGTAGGTGCCGAGGACCTTGATGAAGAGGAGGTAGAAGTGAAAGCCCTCCAGTGCTGTCCAGGTGAAGCAGCAGAGCAGGCAGTAGTGGGTGAGCCCCCCCAGGACCCTGCAGGCCCATGGCTGGGTCCCACTGGAGAGCCCACTGTTGAGCAGGAAGGCCAGGTTGAGGAGGACCAGGCTGCCAACGAGGTTCATGTGTAGCCCCAGGTTGATGCAGAGGGTCTCCTCGAACCTGAACCTGCACCTGAGTGTCCCCAGAGAGAGCAGACAAGGTGGGGGGTCACAGCTGAGCAGAGCCCCATGCCATATTGCAGCAAGTTCATGAATAGGCACCAGAATTGCCCCACATCTCTCCCAGGCTGACAAGCCCCCAGGGAGCTGCTGGCACATTCTACCTTAAGAAGATGCAGAAGGCAATGGTGAAGATGGAGAAAGCCACGGCTACCCCACAGCCAGCAGTGGCAACAGCCATCAGGGCTTGCGCTGTGGATCTGTCCAGAGCTGGGTTCTGCCAAACACACACATTGGGTTAGATAGGCCCTGGACCAACCTAGAAAACCCAGCTGCAGCTACCAGAGCCATGGGGCTGAAAACCCTGGTGGTCTGCTGCAGGGACCCCATGCAAGTCCCCAGTCTGTCCTGCCAGAAGGTCTTTGGCGAGGAAGGGGTGGTGCTGGCTCAGAGGAGATGCTCCTGGAGTGGGGTGAGGGATGGCTGAAGGCTATGGTGAGCCACCATGAGCACTCTTTTGCTGCTCCAGAGCCTGCATTCCACTGGGGGCCATTTCCATCCTGTACCTGCTCTGCTGAGCTGCTTCTGCCCTCCTGAGCTGGGGCTGGGCTTGATTTTGGGACCTGGGCTTGCCTGGGAGCAGCTATAACTCTCCCTGTGCAGCTACGGGTGACAACCTGAGAGGCCACCAACATGGGTCAGGTGGCGCAGCTGGGGTATGAACAGGAGCTGTGGGGAGTGGGATTGTCACCAGGAGGAGGGTGAAGAAGGTGAGATGGTTGCAGGAGCAGACTGTCTCCTTATCCCCAGGCTGTGTCACACATCCGCTGCTGTTCCAGCCTCCTGTGTGCCCTGTGACAGGGACAGGCAATGGCTGTGAGCGCCGGGCGAAGCACCCCCACTCACCTCTTGGCCCAGCCCCACCAAGGACCATACCTTTGCTGAGATCCCAGAAGACACATTGCTGGGTGACAGCCTGCAAGGGGGGAGAGTGTCATCAGCTGATGCCATGGTGAGGGGCACCAGAGGAGAGATGGAGGGAGGGCACAGCTGGCTTACACGGGGCAGCTGCCTGTGGGCGAAGGTGAGCTGCACAGGATCCTGCAGCCCGGAGATGCTTGTCTTTCCCACCGTGATGCCCACCACAGTGTTGTCCATGACCTGCCCCGTCTGGTTGACCTCCTGCGTGGGGACAATGGTGCCTGAGCTGAGCCGGCAGGCAGCAGGTGGCGGGAGGGATGCTGGCAATACTAGTTCATACCTCAAACATGCCAATCTGCTGGATGTTGAGGACTGTCACCACCACACGCACTGTCTGGCTGCTGAGGGACCGGAATAACTCCCTGGGGAGCTGGATTTTGCCTGCGTTCCTGTTCTCCGTTGTGTTCAGCATGGTAGGGCCCTGCAGCAGAGAGCAGTGGTGGAGGGTTGCTTGTTGGCAGCATCACCTCTCTGCTCAAGACCAACCAAACTTGCTCAGGGCACAAATTCAGCCCTCCCTGGTGGGTTTTTCTCAGCAACATCAGCAGGAGCCCCGAGGGCAGAAGGGGAGAACTTCATCCCCAGCACTGAGCAGCGAAGGGGCAGAGCTGGGAGCAGCTTCCAGAAGAATTTCAGCCCACCATCACCCCATGGGACATGGTTCTCTGGGACATCCAGAGAGTGGGAGAGCCTGAGGGTTGGCAAGAGGCACAAGGTCCCACACACTCCTCCTCCTCTTCCTCCCCCTGCCCATCCACCAGCTGCCGGGATGGCTCCTCGGGGAGGGCTTTTCCCTTCCAAGCACCATTTCACGTGACTCCTTGCCAAGGGATGCTAAAGCTGATGTGGGTCCATCACGCAACCGTGGAGCAGGGTGGAGGAAGAGCACGCCATGGTACGCTAAGCCCCAAGGGCAGGGGTTGAGGGATGCTTGGAAAGTGCAGGGGCTTGTGAGTGAGGAAGAGGGGTGCATCTCACCTCTGTAGGGGAGAAGGTGATGAGGACATCACGGGTGACAGCCCTGCTGATGTTCAGGAGAAGCACCTTCAGCCCAGCCAGCCTGTCATGCAGCGCTGGCCCCGCTGACTGCAGCAGCCTGTGGGGCAGAAGGGCTGTGAGACTGGGGGACTTAGTGGGGGGCTGAGCCCCCAGACCCCACCATGGCCACCACTGCCCACTACCTGAGCCAGCGTTCCCGCAGGCAGGCACAAGAGGGGCTGCTGGATTTCCCCAGCTCCGGGCAGCGCCGGGGCAAGTCGAGGCTGTGGATCCCATTGCCTCGCTCTTCCGACTCCACCATCATCTTGCAGCACCAATCGTGGCTGTCACCGCGCTTCAGGGCTGGGGAGTGGGGTGACCACCGGGCCCCACAGCACCAGGTGGGCACTGGGGGTGAGGGCAGGGAAGAGAGGGGACTACTTACCAGCACAGCTCTCCTGTCCTCTAGAAGTGCCTGGAAGAAGAGCATGTGGGGGAAATGGGGGGAAACCCCCAAAATCTAGGGTCAGTCCTCCCCCTGCCCACAGGGGAAGGGGGAGGCAGGAGAATCTGGCAGCTGCCAGGGTTGAAAATCACAGAATCACCGTGGTTGGAAGGGACCTCTGAGTGCAGCTCTAGAGTTACACAGGCTTCAAAAGGCAACGGGACAGCCGCCAGGGCTGGTGGAGGAAAAGCCACCACTCTCTCTGCTCAAGACCAACCAAACTTGCTCAGGGCACAAATTCAGCCCTCCCTGGTGGGTTTTTCTCAGCAACATCAGCAGGAGCCCCGAGGGCAGAAGGGGAGAACTTCATCCCCAGCACTGAGCAGCGAAGGGGCAGAGCTGGGAGCAGCTTCCAGAAGAATTTCAGCCCACCATCACCCCATGGGACATGGTTCTCTGGGACATCCAGAGAGTGGGAGAGCCTGAGGGTTGGCAAGAGGCACAAGGTCCCACACACTCCTCCTCCTCTTCCTCCCCCTGCCCATCCACCAGCTGCCGGGATGGCTCCTCGGGGAGGGCTTTTCCCTTCCAAGCACCATTTCACGTGACTCCTTGCCAAGGGATGCTAAAGCTGATGTGGGTCCATCACGCAACCGTGGAGCAGGGTGGAGGAAGAGCACGCCATGGTACGCTAAGCCCCAAGGGCAGGGGTTGAGGGATGCTTGGAAAGTGCAGGGGCTTGTGAGTGAGGAAGAGGGGTGCATCTCACCTCTGTAGGGGAGAAGGTGATGAGGACATCACGGGTGACAGCCCTGCTGATGTTCAGGAGAAGCACCTTCAGCCCAGCCAGCCTGTCATGCAGCGCTGGCCCCGCTGACTGCAGCAGCCTGTGGGGCAGAAGGGCTGTGAGACTGGGGGACTTAGTGGGGGGCTGAGCCCCCAGACCCCACCATGGCCACCACTGCCCACTACCTGAGCCAGCGTTCCCGCAGGCAGGCACAAGAGGGGCTGCTGGATTTCCCCAGCTCCGGGCAGCGCCGGGGCAAGTCGAGGCTGTGGATCCCATTGCCTCGCTCTTCCGACTCCACCATCATCTTGCAGCACCAATCGTGGCTGTCACCGCGCTTCAGGGCTGGGGAGTGGGGTGACCACCGGGCCCCACAGCACCAGGTGGGCACTGGGGGTGAGGGCAGGGAAGAGAGGGGACTACTTACCAGCACAGCTCTCCTGTCCTCTAGAAGTGCCTGGAAGAAGAGCATGTGGGGGAAATGGGGGGAAACCCCCAAAATCTAGGGTCAGTCCTCCCCCTGCCCACAGGGGAAGGGGGAGGCAGGAGAATCTGGCAGCTGCCAGGGTTGAAAATCACAGAATCACCGTGGTTGGAAGGGACCTCTGAGTGCAGCTCTAGAGTTACACAGGCTTCAAAAGGCAACGGGACAGCCGCCAGGGCTGGTGGAGGAAAAGCCACCACTGTGCCTGTGTGAACACGTCCCTGCATCCAGCCCCCCCGGGGGTGGCTCGCAGAAGCCTGAGCTGCTGGTCCAGGGTGTTAAAATAGCCCCCAGCAGCAAACTCCCCCGCTCCGCTGGCCTCTGCCAGCTCTCTGCACATCCCAGGGGACCCTCCCTTGTGGCCTGGCCACATTCCGGGGTGAAACCCTGCCATGAGAACCTACCCCTGAGCCCAGACCCCTTCACACAGGCACACTGGGGGTGCCCATGTCCCCCCCACCCGCCACTCACCGGCCTGCACCAGGAGGAGCAGAATGGTGCTCAGGAGCAGATTCATGGTGCTTTGTGGGGTCTCCTGGCTGACCCCGGTCCTCCACAACACTCTGTTCCCCTCGTCCCAGTGGCTCTGCTCCTCCCCGGGCTCCCCCAAGGCTTGCAGCTCCTCCTGAGGCAACAGCTGTGTCCTCATTTCCCTTCTGCAAGCCCTCACACCTTCCTGTGGGTTGGCAAGTGACCTCCTGCCCCACCTCGAAGCAATAGAGAGAACCATCACAGCCACGTCATTTCCCCCTTAGCCACTTCCCCCCCCTGTTGACTCAGGGCTTTTTTCCTTCCCCTTCTCCTCCCCATCCTGCCAAATCCTTGGACAATGTCACCCACCAGCCCAGCCATGTGTTGGGACATCCCTCTCCCAAAAGGGGTACACCGCTGGGGGTGAACCATCCCCTTCCCAGGAATGTTCCCGTGCCCTGGGCAGCAGCCAGGCAGAGGGGGATGAGCTGCAAGTGGGGCAGCATCTGGAAGGGGAACTGGTGGAGTGGAGACACGATTCCCATTCTGCGAAGCCTCCCTCTTTGGATTCCCATCCTCCCTCTTTGGTGGGTCCCCAGAGATGGCAGCAGCTTCCTGAGCTGCAGCATCCCCCTCCGTCACCCTGACTGGCCCCAGGGTACCAGTGCCCTGCTGGGAGCACTGTGACTGGTCCCAGCTCAGCATAATCCTACAGGTTGAAACACCAGGTCCTGCCCCAAGGATGGGACAACCTCAACTAAGGGACAGATCCCATCAGAGAAGCCACCAACATGCCCAGCAGAGAGACCCCAGGGAGCCATGCTCCGAGCAGTAGCAACTTTAATGGGCACAAGTCTGGTGTGTGGGTGCACTCATTAAACCTCTACACCATTCAAAAATAGATATTCAACAAAATAACAAAAATAGATTATTTCAGCTGCTTAGAGGATGTTGCGGGGGCAGAATTAGTCTTGTCTTCACTGGGGACTTCTGTCTTCACTTCTCGGTGACCACCAGCAAGGCCTGAAGATGGGGGGTCTCTCCCACCCATCATCCCTGCCCTCAGGGCGCAGGAAGGGATGTCCAGAGGCACCGGGGACCCTGTGCCCTGCAGCCCCCGCTGCCCAGGTGAGCACCCCTCCCTCCTGCCCTCGGGATGCCAAGCCGAGGGATGCGCTGCTGCCCGGTGAGAAGCGCTGGCTAGGAAAATGGGTGAGGGGGCTGGCAGAGGCGAGGGGGGACCGGCCCGACTGCGGGTCCCTGGGCTCCTAGCAGCCCTACGGGGTGGATGCAGTAGCAAAGCGGACGGCATTGGTCCTTCCCTTGGCTGTCGCCCGTGTGGGGAGCCCCAGCACGGCGTGGCACAGCCATCACGGGGCTCAGCCGAGGTGGCTCTGGCTGCTGTTGGGCTGCAGTTTGACGCTGTCAGAGCTGCTCTGTGAGTCAGGGGACTTTCTTGCCTGCAGCACCATGGTCCAGTACCAGAGGAAGATGAGGAAACCTGGGAGAGGGAAGAAGAAGGGTGGGTGAACCCCCTCAAGGGACACACAGCACCCAAGAGCAAGCTAGCCAGCCTGCCAGGGATGGCTCCTCTCATACCCCACCACCACCTCACCAATACCCCGTGAAAGCCCCAGTGCCCAGTCTCACCTTGGAGGGAGTTGATGATGGTGAAGATGTAGAGGGAGACAAGGCGGAAGACACCAGAGGTGAAAGAGAAGAAGACCAGTGCCCAGGGGATGCCCAGCAGGATGCTCAGCCCAAAGAGGGCGAGGACATGCTTGAGCTTGTGGCCTTTCTTGTTCTGCCGGAGGATCTCCCGGACCATGGCCCCCAGCATGACTGAGTTGAAGAGGAACACCAGGCTGAAGAAACCCAGGTTCACAACATTATGGATCAAAGGGCTTGTGATCCAGCATCTGGAGGGATGAGAAAGGGCAGCGGTTTATGCTATGTCATCCCACAGGGGCACAAGTTGGAGGGGATGGAGGAAGCAGGGCAGCATGGTGCAAACCCAACACCCAGCTTAGTTAAACAGGGAGGGGGGATCCCCCACCACCACCCTGCTCAAAGCCCCAGAAAAGCTAAGGAGAAGGTGGGCTAAGGAAAGCCTGTAGGACATGTGAAGGTTTAGCCATTTGACTTTATCTAAGACCAGGGACCAGGCAACCCATTTCCCATTACTTACATGGTTGCGTTGGTGGATTTGCCACCAACGGATTCATAGATGGGAATGGAGAAGGGGCCATAGTTCGTCCAACTAGCCAGGAAGATCAATGTCACACAGAAGAACGGGAGCCCTGGGTGGCAAGAACAGAGTGAAGCAGCCACCATAGTCCTTGGCCCTCGGTCCTCCTGGAAAGATTTGCTGCCCCTTTCTCCCCATGTATAGTACAAACCAATGTCCTCCCTCCCAAGGGCAACAAGGATGTCTGGTGTAAGCTCCAGCCTGGAAGTGAGCTGTGCTGCACCAACCCCAGCCAGGGCTCTCGCAGGGTCATGGAATTTTAGGCCACAAAAGCTCATGAGATCTTCCTACTGCAGCCTCCTGCCCAAAGCACAGCAGAGATGCAGGGGTGCTTAGTGCATCAAGCCCAGCCCTCTGGGCTGTCCTGGATGTTTCTTTCAGAAAAAGAGCATCCCATTACTATTTAAAGACCCCAAGCAGTGGCTCTCACGTGCCTCTTTTGCAGGGTGACCCCCAAGGTGACCCACCCTTGCTCTAGCACCAGCTTCTGCTCTCAGCCACTGAGTCCCCTTCTCCGCTGAGTCTTCTGCTCTCAGACATCTGCTGCCCCACAGCTATGTCTCCATCCCCATCCCAGCACCATATGTGGAAAAGACCTACCCAGGTGTCTCTCCATCCTGTTATCCCTGCATACAGGGCATTTCTGCCTCCCCCATGCTCACCCCAGCCCACCAGGCACAGCTTGAGGAGAAAGTGGTCATGGTAGGCGTTGAAGACTTCAATCACAAGCCGGTAGAGGTTGTAGCCCTCGATGCCCATCCAGGTGAGGCAGCTCAGGAGGGAGAAGTGCAAGAACAGCCCCCCAGCCCTGCACAATGCCTCGCTACTGCTGGAAGCCAAGTGCTCAGAGATGAGGAAGGTGACGTCCAGGAGGAAGATGGCGCCCAGCAGGTTCATGTGGATATGCATACTTGTGATCTGGTCTCGCTGCTTGCTTCTGGAGAAATGAGGGGGAGGAGACCTCACCACTGTGCTTGGCCAGCATCCTCGGTGTCCCACACCACCGAATAGCTCCACATAGGGCAACTTGTCCCCGCCAGAAGAGCCAGGAGACCCTCTGGTGGTGTCAGGGCCTGAGAGCCTAACCTCACAGGTGGGACCACCGATTACACATGCAAATTTAGGTCCCTGCAGCTCTGAATCATCCACGTAGGATCAGTAACATGACTCAGGAGAAGAGCTCTCCACTGAGCTGTTGAAAAGATCTTTGCAGGTTTCTGCTTGCCAGATTGATAACAACTAAGCTGATTTTCCAAAACCATTGAAAACAGTGTTTTCGAGCGCCCTGTGGGGGACCTGACCAAGGGGGTGGTTTCTGGAGAGGAGAATTCCTCTTTCTCGAAGCATGGCTCCTTCATCATACTTCTAGCCAGGCCACAAACTGCATTGTGCCCACCCAGGTGTAGTGGCAATGGACAGGCGGATGTCCTGTCCATTGCCACTGTCCTGTCCAGGAGTGGCAATGGCAAACTGGAAGGATGGGGTGACTTGTCAGACCTGAAGTAGAGGAAGAAGACGGTGCAAATGGATGCCAAAGCTGAGATCAGGCAGCCGATGTAGGTTATGATGCTCAGGTAATCCCTGTGTATGTAGGTGATCTCTGGGGATGATACCTAAGGAGAAGGAGGAATGAAACATAGTGAGGAACAGCAGCCAGTGGGAACGATGTAGGGAGCTGCAGGAAGGCACTACCCACCATCAGCACAGCAAAGTAGGTGAGGTGGTTGCACCTGCAGTCTGTCTGGCTGTTCCCCGTCACTGTTGTACAACCATAGCTGTCCCAGCTCCCAGTGCTGCCTGCACAAGAGAGAGGAAGAGCATTCAGCGAGCAGCAGAACATCTTCAGGTTTGTGGACCCTCAGGGCCAGGTGTCCAAGGTGTCCATGGCAGAGGGGAGGACAAAAGTCAGAATCCCAGCTTGTCCCACGCCAAGCACACACACTCAGACAGTACCCTCAGCATCAGGACCCATCCCTAGGGAGGCAGAAAGCTCTTGTGTTAGCTATCGAGGGTCAAACCTGACATCAACCTAGTGAAATAGGTTTATGGAGCTGGAGTGAGGCAGGGAGGTGCAGAGTGCCTTTTACCCCTAGCAGCAGGTCTGTGGTACCCTACGAAAGGAGCAAAGGCAGTGCCTGGATTCACACCCAGGTGCAGGAGCACTCACCAGTGGTGTCCTCCTGCCAGAAGACGCACAGCGGGGTCACATTCCTCTGCAATGAGAAAACCACGGGCCTTGATCGGGATGCAGCTGGGGGTTTGTTGACTGGCAAGCACATTTGATAGGGTAGAACATGGGGCAGGAGGCAAGATGGCTCCCGGAGACAAATGGGATCCTCCCGTATCATTGGAGTAAGCTCCCAGCAGAAACTGTTCTCTTGGCAGCTCGCAGAGCAGATACCTCCTCCCAGGTCCCCTTTTCCAAAGGGTTCAGCTTTGAGCAGGCACCTGACAGGGCCATGAATGGGCCAAGGGACTGTTAACTCAAAGTGTCCCCCCACCAGTTCAGGAACAGTGGGCTGGAGGCAACACATCTGCAAAGCAGCATCTCCCAAACAGGAGCAGGCAGCGCCACCACCAGTGGACATGGTGAAGCCACAATCGTGGTGCAGCCCCAGAAGGCAGAGCAGACCCTGTACAGGCAGGCCAGAGGCATGAACCTGCTGGATGGTTCCTGCTCTCTAAGCTGGCAGGGCCTGAGTCCTTCCTACCCCTCTATTCCTGGTGGGACCAGGTTCATTGAGACTGTTTCCCCACCTACCGGCAGCAGGTTGTGGAATAAGGTGAGGACCACTGGGTGGGAGAGATTGGCCACCACCGTGTCCACTAGGGAGATGCCGACCACCTTGTCACCCAAGACACGGCTGCTGTTTTCATCCTGTGGGAGAAGAGGAGGCAATGGCAGCATGGGAAGGGATTGCTGCTGGCCATGAAGCGGGTAAGAATCCCCAAGAAAGAGTTCCCATGTCTCTTTCCCCATCAAGCTTCTAGCTCATCTTTGAAGCATCTTCTCTGAGTGAGCACCGACACCCTGCTCTGGGCAGCATCCCTGCTGCCCTGTACCACTGGAGCCCCCAGCATGGCAAGGACACCCCACGACGCCATGCGCATGGGCATTACCTGGAACATGGTCTGGCTGTTGATGTCCATGAGAAGCACCCTGTGCTCTACCACATCCTCCCTCTCCTTTGCCACTATGAACAAGCTGCTTGGCAGGTCCACTGCAAACCCATGGACCTCTCCGCCCTTCTGCAAGGAGAGATTTGTCAAGAGAGAGTTTGGGAAAGGATGCTGGTAGACACAGACTACCAGGGCAAGCTGCCCAGAACCCACCTCTCTTTGAGAAGCAAAGGCCACGTGCTGAGGAGCCTGAGTGGGCTGGACCCTCAGGACAGTCGCGTGCACAGTGGCCTTCCCAAAGGTCTGGTTCTGCCCTTCGAGCTCCACCTTGGCCAGCGTCTTCTCTAGCTCCCCAAGTTTGCTGTCGGGGAAGGGGTGAGCAAGTGAGCAAGATCCGGCAGGCACCACACCAGCAGGAATGGCACAAGTGGGGAACTCACCGCCGAAGCATCTGCTGCTCCGTGGCTCCCGCTTCTGGCACTGGGGGCTGGGCGATGAGGCTGTCCAAGGCGGTGAGCTGCTCCTCCACGTCTTCCTCACAGATGGGCATGCTCTCTGGAGAGGCTGATGGGCACATGAAAGGAAACGCTGTGAGATGCATGGGCAGAGCCAGATTCCCCATGCCCCGAACCAGCCGGGCACGGCCCTGGTGGGAGCAGAAAGCAGAGGGCTGCAAGGTCACCCCAAGCCCAGAGAGCTGATGGAGACCCCAACCCAGAGGGCTTTTCCTGCTGCCTGAAGTGTGGCTCCCCCCAAGGCCATCGGGACTAGGCTGGCTGAGGCTAGCAAGGTGCCTAGCAGTGCAGACAGGACCCTTGAAGATCTCTGGAAAGCCCACGATTTCAAGGGGTAAAACACTTGAAAATCTCCATCTTCATCTTTACGGAGCCTGGGTACCAGGTCTGCCTCTAGGCTGCTTCAAGCAAACCTATGTCCCCTTCCACCACCCTTCAGCTGTATCTTTACATCGTTATGCTGTACTATATACTGGGAAACCACCACCAATGCTTTGCTGATGGCTAGAACGAGCTGGGGATGAAACGAACCCTTCACTTCATTAAAATAATGGCCTCCACAAGTGAAGAAGTATTCAGATGCATTCTCAAGGGAGGTGTTCTTCCCGCCCTTTGAGATGTAGGACACATTAAAGATGGAGGTGCTGGTTCTTTCAGTCTTCTGACTCTCCTTCCTCCGGATGATGCTGCTGGACGGGTCCCCACCCAGGATGAAGCTCTGTTTCCCATACGCCAGCCTCAGGGTTCTGTTGGCCTTGAACCAGTAGACACAGAAGCGGTACCTGCCCAAAGCAGGGGGCAAGCTGTACACGTAGTAAGAGTTTGTCTCATTTGGCAAAAAGGGCCTTTTTATTATCAGCGCCTGGGCTGTGTTCTCGATGGAGATGGTGGCAGGGCTGTGCTCGTAGATGACAGAGCTGTTCTGGGTCTGGTTTCGGTCACCACAGAAGCGAAAGTCCTCTACCTGGTGGCTGCTGGCTCCCACCCCTGCAGGGCACAAACACATGGAGATGCAGGTTCAGCCAGAAGGACGGGCAGCCCTGGCAAACACTGCACCCCCATGGCAGCCATCATGTGTGGCACACCAGCCTCTCTGCCTGGTGTCCTGGCATCCCAAGCTCATCCTGATAGGCTGCATGATGTCGGCCACCTCCCTGATGTCCCCCGGGCCATGCTGTGTGGTGAGGCTTCTGGGGCAGCAGGACTTCCCATCTCTTGGTGCCACCACCCGCATCAGCAGAGACCGACAGAGGAGCTCTCCATCTCCAGAAGGGATGGATGGAGATTATCTCCTTACTCTGGAAAAGACCCATCCTGCTCCAGAGACCCCACCACAGGCATGTCAGCCCATGAGATGTTTCATGTCTGTGGAAGTCACAGCTGCAAACACCCCTTGGTTCCCCCCAGCCAATTTTTTGCAGCTGCCAATTATGTCCAGCAGCCCAAACCTGGTCCACCAGCCCAGGGCAGGACATGGCTGGGGACAGCCTACCTTGGAGAGGGGAGAGAAGCAGCAGCAGGAGGACCTTCATCCTGGGCAGCTCTCTGCTTTGGCTTGGCCTTTGAGGACAAAGCAGAGCCTGGGGGGGTACAAAGGAAAGGGGCCAGGTGAGTATTTAGGTATCACCCATGCCATGGGGTCAGGGGATGGAGAACAAAGGCTGTGCCAGTGGGACACGGGCCGTTGTCACAGCCGGCTCCCTGGTACCACCAGGAGGAGCCAGGAGCAGCAGGCACCCGCCCGGCCACCGGCTGGAAGGATGAAAGGGGCCAGCAGCTGGGTCCCCAGGCTCTCAGCACGGGGAGGGTGCCCCACTGCCCTGGCACAGGCGCCAACCACCAACCACCGAGCACAGGAGGGGTCTCCCCTCTTCCACTCCCTGCTTTGCATCTCAGCTTGGGCCTTGGCTTCTTATCAAGAGTGGTGGAAACAGAAGGAAACGGCGGTTTCCTAATTCGCCAGCCCTGAAATTATTTTCTCCTCTGCTTTCAGCTCCTGCAGATCAGCCAAGGAGCCAGGCACGTCGCAAACCACTCGGCCGTTTCAGCCCAGCAGGAACAGGCTCTCCCAGGTTTGACCCGGTGATGCCAACGCCATAACCGTGGCTGCCAAAACCCCTTCTGCCCCTCACAACCAGCCAGGCAACATCCCCCACATCCCCTGTTCCCCTCCATTCATCCCGCACTCTGCTCCACCACCCTTTTCTTTGTCTTTATATGCAGCAGCGGCTCCTGTCACCCACGCCCAGGCCAGCGCTGAGAACCCCAGGGTGCTGCTGCACCCACACGCTCCAGCCAGCCACAGCCCTCGCACCTGCAGCCCTTCCCACCGCACCTTCTGCCTTCCCCACACCACGAACTGCACCTCTGGTGCTGCTGGGGTGCACCCAGCTTCACCTCCTCCTCCCCCTGCTCTCACCCCAGCAATGGACTGAGGCTGGTGGGCCAGAGTCCAGCGATCAGCAGGAGCCCATCCAGGGTGGGACAACGTCAGTGGGGGCAGCCGAACCAGCTGGCAGAGCCCAACACTTGCCAATGCCCAAAGCCAAGCCTGCACATAGTTTGCCACTGCACTCAAAGCGCCCTTCTTGAAACCCTCCAAGTGGCCAAACCCTGTCTCGTTCGCCACAAGTGGGTGCTAGGCCACCCACCAGCATCACCTGCAAAAGCTCATGAGCTCTCCCGGGCACCCAAGGGTCATCAGATGGGAAGGCTGCTTGCTTGAAAACTCAGCATCGCTGTTAGGAGAGGTTTGTCCCACCAGCACAGATTTCTCCTGGAGGTTTCTCCCACCAGCAAGGATCCAGGTCACATCCTGCCCTGGTGCATCACTGTGGGCACAGCCCACTACTCACTGTCCCTTCTGGTTATTAGTTAACCTGCTGCTATGGGCATAACTGAAGATGAGATGTTTGGTTACTAATTAACCTGCTGCCATGGGTATAATTGAGTGTGGCGTTAACGAGGTTCCCCAGTGTTGGGTGAGAAGGTACAGCACAGGCACAACTTGGCAGCAGCAGCTGGACGTGGACAGGGCTGTCATCCCTGGCATGGCCCTGCCGCACACTTGGGAATCACACACGTGTATCTGAAAAGCACAGATCCGGGGTGGCAAGATGCAGGTAGCAATGGGAAACACCTGGATCACTTAAAAGCAACAGACTGGCACACGAATGCCAACTGTGGCATGATGGCACGGAGCCGACGTGCCAGGAAAGCATCCCTTCTGAATGGGGAATGCTGATTTCCAACGAGGCTTTAGCCCAAGCCACTGCACTGGCTCCATTGGGATTTTATTGGGGTGGTCGGAGGACAGCATCAGCCCCTTTCGGCTGTTATTCAACCGGGACCGGCAATCCCTGCGAGGCTGTGGGTGGGGGAGCTGGAATTTCCCCTCCAAGCCCTATATGGTCCCACTCACCCCGATGCCGATTGCTGTTTCCTGAGCCGAACAATAGAGAGAGAGAATTCCCCGAAAACGGTTTCGCAGCGGGAAAACGGGGTTCCCATCCGTGCCAGTGATAATCAGCACTGGAGGGAGCAGGATGCACCAAGCCCACACCAGGGCTGGGTCCTGCCCCACCATCTTCCCATCCCCAGGTGGCAGTGGGGCCGCACGGCATCTCCCCCCCTTGGTACCTGGCTATGCCACATATCCCCACTGCCACCAGGGCATGTCCCCAGTGACACCCATCTTCAAAAGCCCCGCACTATGGCAGTGACCAAGCAGAGACTCAGCCCCAGGCATCACATTGTCTGCTCCCATCACCATTAAAATGCTGGTCTTGGAAAAGAAAGCTGGAAAAAGTCTTGGAAAAAAAAAGCCAAGGAATAATATCGTGGCCTCTAAACCTGGAGGCAAAGGGAAAAAAAAAAAAAAAACAACACTAAAAAAACCCACACACAACACACACAAAAAAAGCCTGGTGTTTACTACCACCTTACTGCTCTCTGTGTGACTTGGCAGCAGGTATTTAAGCTTTTGGAGGTGGCATGTGGCTTTTGGGTGCTTTTGGATGCCCAGGGAGAAGGGAAGATGCTCTGATGCCTCAAACAAACACTGGAAACAGGGAAATCCAGGGGTTTTTACCTCTGTTTTCCTTCCAGGTCTGTTAGAAAAATATGCTGACCCTCTGTTCCTCGAGATGCCAACAAGTGTGCAGCTCCTCACTCGCAGCCTGTCACCCAGGCAAGGACCTGGGAACTAGATGGGGAAACGGAGGCACAGAGAGGCAAGCTAGGACAGGCTCCCCAAGATGCAGAACAGCTTTGCATGACTGCCCTCCATCCTAGGGATGGCAGACGATGTGCCCTGGGGCTGGAGCTGCCTGAGGAGGTGGGGACCCCAGCGGAGACCCTTCGGGCAGAGGGGATGCCCCAGCGTCAGTCACCCGGGTGCTTCACCAAGTGCCCTTGTCCTTGGCCAGTAGCCCACGTGTGCAGGGACCAGCCTGCATATTATTCATGGCATCGGCATGCAGGCTTTTCCCGGCACCGGTGGGCGGCAGGGTCCGACCCGGCGCGACTGTTAATGGCCAAGGAGCTGAGCGGCAGCTGCACGGCACCGGCAGCACGGCCGTGCCAAAGCCTGGGCTACGGCATCAGCTTCTCCCGGGCCGTGGGGCTGCACACAGCACCCGGCACCCACCAGCTGAGCTTCACCAACGGGACAAACCCAGACCTGAGAAGGATTCCTGCAGGAGCAGCACAGCTCCCTCCCAGATTCATCCTTCACCAGCCACTGGCACCTATCCCTTCCCAAGCAGGCGTGGGGAGAGCCGAGGGGAGGCTGGCACAGGCAGCCTGACCAGAGTCCGAGGCTCTTGAGATGGAGGTTTTGCTTAAAGCTGGGTCTTAACAGTCAAAATTAAAGAAAATGGCCATTTCCTAAGAAACACCACAGGCAGAAATGTCGCAGCCAACGAAATCACCGCTTCCTCCAGCAGTGGGGCCACAGGGCACCCAGCCCAGCGGGAAATGGACAGCCTGTGGCTTCGGCAGCGCTGCCAGCAGCCTGGGAAGGACCAGGTACACCCGCAGCAAATTGCAGGGTGCCATGAAAGGGGAACGAAGCAGTGCAGGTTGTCCTTCCCCCGGCACCCCGTGCCATGGCACCGGCCTCGGGGGGTACAGCCAGCCATCTTCATGGTGCTCCCGCACCGCTCAGCCTTCTTCAGGGGCAACCTCTTGGCATCCTCCTACGGGTCAGTTTGCACCTTGCCTCCACCCAAAGCACCACCCTGGGTTTTAAACAGCTTCCAAAATACCCACAGGTCTCATCCCACCCCACACGAGCAAGGTCCCCATCGCCTGCCGGTGCCAGGGAAGGGAGGCGCAGGGCAGTGCAGAGCAGTCCAGGACCACCCCAAATCAGACTCCCAAGCATTTGGCACGGGAAGCAGCCAACGTGGAGCCCACTGAGGGTGATCCCCATCCCAGTGGGCTTTTCCAGCTATAGAAAAGCCAAGCACAGCCAGGACAAAGGCTGCAGCATCCGAGGAGCCAGGTAAGAGGCCAGAACCTCCCCCCCCCCGGATCCCTGCCAAACCCCAGCTGCCAGAGAGCTGATGGGAAAGGAGTTGGTGGATCAAGTCCTCCCAAAAAACAGGCGCTGGCAGGCTGCTGCCCAGCTGGTACCACCAGGTGCTAGCACGCTGGGAGCCACCTAGCCTGCTGTCTGCAAACCCCTGCAAACCTGTGGGTCTCCCCCGACACCCCCAGGTATTACCACAAGGTGCAGGGACGGCCAGCTCCAGGAGTCCCCATCCCGGCGGCACGCAGTTGCTTGCAAACCTGTTGCTCTGGGAATAGCAGCCCCCAGGCTGAGGGATTAGGAGCTGGACTGCAACCAAGTATGCAGCATTTTTAGGCCTTGGCTCAATTCACATGGGAGCTACAAACCCAGCAAGGGGCACAGCATAACCCACCGTGGCTGCAGTCCCAGGCTTAAAGGATTTGCCTCCCACAACATCTCCAAGGCACTCCTGTCTCCCCACTGGCAGTGGGGCTTGGAGGGGGGTTACTGCAGCCCTCAGACCGTGAAACAAGCTTTGGCTGCCTTCCATCCTCACCGGCCATTCGAACTTGTTGCCAGGAGGTTATTCCAGGAGACTTCATTTCAATTCTCCAGCTGGTTTCACTGGGTTTTGCTGGTCCCTCTGGAGGGGCAGCTTGTGGGCAGGGAGCACCCGGAGCATCCCGCATCCCGCAGCAGCATGCCAGGACCAGCAGCAGCAAGCTGAGATGTTGCAGGAGGAATCCCCCCAACAGGCATTTTAGGGGAAGGAGATCACCCTGTCGAGACATGCCGGCAGTCCCACGGGGATGCTGGGAGGAGGAGGAGGAGGAGGAATGGGGCCCGCCGGTGGGTCCCGTGGGGTGGGAAGCGGTGGCGGCACACAGAGCCCGGCAGCAGGGACTCGGTGGGGCTTGGCTGTGCCGTTGGCAGCAGCCGGGAGCAGCTGGTCCCGGTCGGCTCCGGGGGCTTCGTGGCACACGGCGTGGAAATTCAGCCCAGCTCTGAGGCAGGGACAAGGGGTGGTGGGGCAGGGACAAGGGGTGGTGGGGCAGGCAAGGATGAGCCCCCATTTAGCAGGGATGGAGGCTCCACCAGCCAACTCGCGCCTTGGCCATGAGCAGAGACGCCCAGACAGAGGTGTTGCACCCACCGCTCAGGCGGTGAGGGACAAGATGTCCCCGTGCCTACCGGAGCAGGGGACATCCCAAATCCCTCCACGGAGAACCCCTTAGCTCCATCCAGACGGCTTGCCCCACCATCCAGCTGAGGACCCCAGGGTGCTGCCCAGTGGCACCAGCCCCAGAGCCCCACCGCCCTCCCAGTCCTGCTGGGCTGGCCCCATGAGGAGAGGCGCAGATGCCCACCCCACTCGCCCTCGCCCCCAGCGGGTGCCCCCCTGCCGCGCCGAGGACCCCACAGCATCCCCCCGCCCAGTATCCCCGGTAAGGGCGTGCCAGGCAGCGCCCCTTACCGTGGTCTTTGGGACCCCGAAAGGAACCATCAGCCGCCCCCGCTCCTCCGCCCTCGCCCGGCTCAGCCCCGGTACCTGTGCCCGGGTCGGGGGCGGGGGGGGCGCGCTGCCCCGGTTCCGCTCGGCACGGCTCGGCTCGGCACCTTGCAGCCCACCCAGCCCGGCGGGGCTGGCGGCGGAGCAACGGGAGAAACCGGCCCGCCCCTTCCCGCCGCGCTCGTCCCCCCGGGCGGGCGGTGACTCAGCGGGGCGGGACCGGGACGGGTCGCACCGCACCGAGACCCCTCCGGGACCCTTCGGTGTCGCTGCCGGGGGCGCGGGGCCGCCGACCCTCGGTCACGGCACCTGCCCGGCTCTGCCCAGCCCAGCCCGGCTCGGACTGGGGGCACCGGGCTGCATCAGCCCGCCCGACCGGGACCGGCACCGGCACCGGCACCGGCACCGGCACCGGGCTCGAGAGCCGGCTGGGCTGGGGGCAGCGGGGAGCGGGGGGTGCCCCGTCCTGCCGCCCTTCAGCTCCGGGCTGGCGGGCGGCCAGAGGAGAGAAGGAGCTGGGCGGCTGGCAGGCTGCACGCCTGGCTGCCAACGGGATTAAAAAATAACAATTAATGGCAAACCAACCGGGACTGCGTGTCCCTGTGAACCCTGTCCCGCTCCCTGCAGGAAACGAGGGAGCTGAGAAGCAGGGCAAGGAGCCCAGGCCCTGAGCTGGGGGTGGGAGGGAATCTGGGAAGGGGGTCCCCTGTGTTACATCCCTGGAGGCTGGGATGTGGGGGGCAGAGCCTGGATGCGACCCCCCCCAGCTCCCACCACCCACCCCAAGGCCACCACCCTGCCCCTTGCCATTGGGACCCCACGGCGGCAGCGGGAGCTGAGGCTGGAAGCATCGTGGCAGTGATGGGCGCCGCAGGAGTGGACAAAGCGGCTGCCAAGCGGTGCCCACATCCAGGCACGTCAGCCTTTTGTGCGCCCTGAAAAGCAGCCAGGCGGGAGAAAGCCAGGGCTGCTGGGAGCTGGAGGAGGGGGGGAGGGCAGGGAGGGCTCCGGGAAGTGGCCTGGGTAAATAGTTGCTTTTGCAGATATTTTCAATGGCTTGAATGAGACTTTTCTTTCTGCTGGGGGAAGGGTGGAAACAACCTCCTTTCTCCGGCAGGGAAGGCGGTGGAGATAAAAGGCATCCACGGCACCGGAGGTACCATGGCTGCGCTGGGCACCCCGGAGCAGGGAACATCCCGCAGGCTCGCGTCTCCCCACAGCTCAGTTTAATTTCCAATTCCAAGCCTCAAATTTCCCCAGCTACCACGGGAAGAGGTGCCCATGGGAAGAGGCTCCCGTGGGAAGCGGCTCACGCGGACAGACCGTGGCTAATGCCTTTGAAGCCCAACTGTCCCCGTGCCACGGGGAGTGGGGCCGGCTCCGAAACACACGCTGATGGCAGCAGGAGCCTCAGGGTGAGCCAAGCCTCTCGCCGCAGGTCGTCCTGACCAGCTCCTTTGGGAAACACTGTAAATCCACTTCCCGGGAATACCACTGCTAAACCCAGGGGCAGCTCCCGCAGGATCCAGCCCTCCTGGGGTGGGGGTTCAGGTGCAGACCCCGCATCCCACTGAGGAAAGGACATTTTACGCCATCTTTTTGCCGCTGTTTATGGAACAAAGAGCCTTTTGTCCGCACGACCTTATCGGGAGTTATTTTTAGGTCGACGTCTGCACTTGTGGATGTTATCGGGATTATCTCTAACTCAGTGGGCCGTGCTGCTGTCTTCAAAGACGCTGGCTGAGCACAGAGAGGGAGGAAATCCTTGTGCTGTCCCTTTGCAAGGGACATTTGCCCTTGGGATCAGGCCAGCAGTGCTCACTTGGCCTGATAATTGTTTATTGCTCAACCTGAGGAGTTCCGAAAGCCTTAAAAGTTCCTGAAAACCCTAAAAATTCCTCAAAGCTGTAAAAGTTCCCCAAAACCCTCAAAGCTACTCAAAATCTTAAAAGATCTTCAAAACTTGAAAAAATCCTAAAAGCTCCTAAAACCCCTTAAAGTTCCTAAAAGCCTAAAAATTCCTAAAAGCCCTAATAGTTCCTAAAAATCCTAACAGCTCCTGAAGCCATAAAAGCTCCTAAAAACCCTTGAAGTTCCTAAAAGCCCTAAAAGATCCTAAAGCTCTACAAGCCTTAAAAGATACTAAAACCCCTTACAGTTCCTAAAAGCCCTATTAGGTCCTAAAAATCCTAAAACCTCCTAAAAATGCTAAAATCTCCTAAAACCCCTAAAAGATCCTAAAACCCCTTCATGCTCCTAAAAGACCTAAAAGCTCTTAAAGCCCTAAAAGATCCTAAAAAAAACTTAGTTCCTAAAAGCCTTAAAAGTTCTTAAAGCCCTAAAAGATCCTAAAACCCCGAAAAGCTCCTAAAAGTTCCTAAAACACCTTGAAGTTCCTAAAAGCTCCAAAAGAAGCCTAAAATGTGAGTGTGTTGTGGGACGGGCAGGCTCAGGCCCGTCCTGCCAGGCCGCTGCCAGCCCCAGCACAGCGAGTATGGGCAGCGGTGCCCCGGCACCGGCTGAAGCCGAGGGTGAGTTGGCAGATGCCAGCCCTGCTGCCAAGCGGTGCCAGCCCCGGCTCAGGGTGCCAAGACCCCCCTGAAAGCCCCTCGGGAGACCATAGTGCTCCCAGGGGAGCTGCAACCACCAGCCGAGGTGGAGGGTGAGGGTGAGGATGAGGATGAGGATAATGAAGCTGGTGGGAGGGGATGGCTGGAGGTCCCCCATCCGAATGTGGTGGGCGATCTCAGGGGAACCTTGGAGGATGGTGATCCCAGGGGAGCCCAAGGAAGCCCTGCAGCTTTAAGGAGCTGTGGGTGCTCCCACTCCCCGGTCACCCTGGCTCCCCCTCCCTCAGCCTTGCTCCTAAAAAGACATCCAAAGGGGAGGTGAGTCTCTCCCACCTCACATTGGGGTTTCTCCAGCTGGCAGCCACAATAGCAGTGACTCACCAGGTGCTAGGGCTATAAAACCCAACTGTGGAGAACACAATAAACCAAACGTAATTGTCTAGGCTTGGCTAATCAACCTGCGATGATGTTAGGGAAGTCTAGGAGGAAAAAGGCTCTGGGGGGTGGTTGCACAAGCACTACCTGGGAATGATCCCATGGGATGCAGGAATTGGGCTTGTCTGCTCCCCAGCAGCCAACTCCCAAAGGCAGATCTCAAAATGGAACTGAGGTCTGCCCCTCTCTTCCCAAACACGTTTAGTCTCTTCCCTTGCTGCTTGTTTCCCAGCAATTTGGAGAATTTGCAATATATCCAGAACTTTGCCCCTTGGGCTTGGGCTGGCAGCAGAGCATGAAGGCACCGCAGTGACACCAAGCCACCTTTCCTGGGGAAAAAAAGGGACCTCACAACCCCACGCCAGCAGCGTGGCACCGGCCTCCTGCCTGATACAGTGCAGTGAAAAATAAACAGGATTATTTCTCCTTGGGGAGGTTAGATGGGCCGGCTCCCCCTTCTCAAGTGCTGTGTCCAGTTTTGGGCCCCTCACCCCAAAAAATAAATTGAGGTGCTGGAGCAGGTCCAGAGAAGGGCAACGAAGCTGGTGAGGGGTCTGGAGAGTACGTCTTATGTGGAGAGGCTGAGGGAGCTGGGGGTGTTCAGTCTGAAGAAGAGGAGGCTGAGGGGAGACCTTCTCACGCTCTATAACTACCTGAAGGGGGGGTGTAGAGAAGCAGGGGTCCGTCTCGTCTCCCAAGTCACAGGAGATAGGACAAAGGGAAATGGCCTCAAGTTGCACCAGGGGAGGTTTAGATTGGATATTAGGAAACATTTCTTCACGGAAAGGGTTATCCAGCATTGGGATGGGCTGCCCAGGGAAGTGGTTGAGGCACCATCCCTGGAGGTGTTCAAAAGACAGGTTGACATGGTCCTCAGGAATATGGTTTAGTGATTTTTATTTCTTATTTCTTATTTATTTTTTTGTCAGAGTTAGGTTGATGGTTGGACTAGATGATCTGTAAGGTCCCTTCCAACCTAGATGATTCTATGATTCTCCTGCCCGCAGTGCCCAGGGCTGGGAGGCACCAGGGGTGGTGGGAACCCACCCTTCACTCCCAGGGGACCTCGGGGAGTGTTTTGACCCTGCTCCTGCTGCGGCAAGGTGGGAGAAGTACCTTTTCTGCCCCTGGTTACCAGCAATGGGCTCAGCTCCCCAGGGACCACCGTGCCCTTCGGTACCGTGTTCCTGCTGTCAGGAGGCAACCACCAAGAGATTGTTTTCCAAGCACCACCGGATACAGGAACAAGGTTTATCCCTGCGCCAGAGCTGGTGTGTACACAGGCACCGGCAGCCAGCGTGACTCACACCGCGAGCCCCGGAATCTTGAGGCGGGGAGGAAGGGGCATGGAAAGCACATCCTGAGACCAGCCGGGGGAGGTGGAGGGAGCCAGCACAGCCGGGATGTGACTCTCCCATGGTAGGGCTCATGGGGGATAAGGCGGGTGCTTGGCACCTCACCAAGCCCCCGGGCTTCTTATTTAATAGCTGAAGTCAGCCGCCGGAGCGGTGAGCCACGCACAGCTCATCGTCATGCAGTGGGAGCGCGCCCGCAAAATGGGGGGCACGTCGGTGGCAGGCGGGGGGCACAGCCCCATCAGGACGGGCCTTTGTCCTGGGGAGGGATGGAAACTTGGCGGCGCCGGCTGCCCTTTGTGCGTGGAACAAAGAACAAGGGCCAGTGGCTTCCTTGGCTACTCCAGGAAGGGAAACGCCACTTAGCAGAGAGGGACGGGAAGGCAGAGATGTGTCGCCCCATGAGGCTGCCCATCGATGCCTGGTCCCCTGCCACCAGACCAGAAATGGGCAGCACCAGCAAAGGGTACCTCACTGGCACACCCCACAAGCTACAGGCAACGGGATGGTTGGAACCCCGCTGCCACAGCGTCACCGCGCTGTGATGCTGCTCTGCATCCCGGCAGGCAGAGCCAGATGCCCAGCTCCCAAATCTTGGGCACCAGGAAAGGCAAAATCTCGGGTGCTTTTAGTCCTCGTAATTTGGCCTCACTGTTTATTTCTTGCAGGCTGGATGGCCTAAACCCTCATAAAGCATTTTGTTGTGTTGAGGAGCTCTGCTCAGGGTCAGTTTTCCTAAGCTGGAGGGGGAGGAAAGCCGAGCTACTGGCTCAGTACTCACTTCCCACCCTCCCCTCCGCTCCAGCATGCCCACCCAGTGCCAGGCTGGAGCCCTGCTCCCCTGTTTGCTGGCCAACCTGGGGCTGCATGTGGCCTCTGTCCTCACACTGGCTTTGGGACAAGCATGTGGGGTGCTGTTGTGGGTGAAAACCCGGGGTCAGGGGGGATTTGGGGGTGCCATGGCCTTACAGCCACACTCCCCAGGCTGTAGCCGTGCTGGTGCCAAACACGTTGGGGGGACGTAGCCAGGGACATTCTGGCATTGCCTGTCTCATGTGCAATGCTCCAGCAGCAGCTCCCTGAGAGGGCTTGGATTTCCCCTCCTGGCTGTCAGGGGGCTCTGACCTGCAGCCCAGAAGGCCAGTTGCATCCTGGGCTGCATCAAAAGATGCGTTGCCAGCAGGTCCAGAGAGGTGATTCTGCCACTTTGCTCTGCTCTGGTGAGACCTCACCTGGAGTATTGTGTGCAGGTCTGGAGCCCTCAATATAAGAAGGACATGGACCTGATGGAGTGGGTCCAGAGGAGGGCCACGAGGATGATCAGGGGATCGGAGCACCTCTGCTACGAGGACAGGCTGAGGGAGCTGGGGTTGTTCAGCCTGGAGAAGAGGAGGCTCCGGGGAGACCTAATAGCAGCCTTCCAGTACCTGAGGGGGCCTACAGGAAGGCTGGGGAGAACCTGTTTAGAAAGGCCTGCAGTGACAGGACGAGGGGAAATGGCTTCAAGCTGGAGGGGAACAGATTTAGACTGGAGATGAGGAGAGGGTTCTTCACTGTGAGGGTGGTGGAGCACTGGAACAGGTTGCCCAGGGAGGTGGTTGAGGCCCCATCCCTGGAGATATTCAAGGAGAGGCTCGACGAGGCCCTGGGCAACCTGGTCTAGTTGGGGGTGTCCCTGCTGACTGCGGGGAGGTGGGACTAGATGGCCTTTGGAGGTCCCTTCCAGCCTGGGCAATTCTATGATTCTATGATTCTATGACCTACCAGTAACAAGCACTGCTAACCAGCACCAGTAACTGACGCCATTAACCAGCACTGCTAACCAGTACTGCCATCTGGCCCTGTGTGTGTGCACAGTCCAGGGCTGGGACCATCTTTGAAATCCTCATGCCATCTAGTGGGACTGTCACTAACAGCACAGCAGAGCGTGGCCGCCGGCTCTGCCAGCTCTGCTGGTCATGGCACCGGGGGCGACGGGACAGCTATGGGACCCTGGGCAGAGCTGCACCTCCTACCAGCAGCGGGGGACACCTGCATCAGCAATTAAAAGGTGCTTTTAATGAGAAGCGTGCACCTTCAGCAGAAGTCAGTGTTGGTTACTAATGGAGGGGGCAGCCCAAATTCTTCCCTTGAAGAAACCTGTGACATCCATGGTGCCCACTGTCCAGCCTGGGGGATGCCACCATGCCGCATCCTTAGGGACCAGCTCCTGAGGTCCCCTCGCAGCCCCTCACTCTGGTGTTGGGGCACGTTGTCTGGAGGTGTTGCTGATGGAGCCCACCTTGCTCCGGCAGTGCACAGTGATGTACCAGATGCAGACAAAGAAACCTGTGGGTGGGTGGGAACACGGTCACTGCTGTGGGTGCACTGAGCTCCTCTGAGGAGCAGGAAGGTGACAGGGACGCCACTGCTCCCAACTGACAGAGTCCCCACTCCCCAAACTCCCCCCCCCCCC